TCTGGGAAGACTAAAAAATAGAATCACAGCTTTAAACGCCTCTCAAAACCAAGTTAATTTTAGTCATCTGGATGAATATATGTATAGAAATTGGTTAAGTTTAAACACTGAAACTCCTCAATATAGTTGGGAGACCTTTTTATCTCATATTAGACAAAAATACCCTGTAAAATGTTTTTTTTCATGCTTTTTTGTGTATATATGCGTAAAATTTTATGCAAAAATTCTCCTATTTTCTGATTGGTCGTCTAAAGGTCACTTGTGCGTTTGCATCCCTTAAGATGCTATTGTAAAACTTTGCCCAAAGTTCTACGTAGAAATCTCAGTCAGTCAGTCAATGGCCTGTTAACTGTGCAGTTTATGGTAATATTATTTTGAAGCTAATTAGTACTTTATAAATTGTTTACTTTTAGTGTAAACAATGGTTTCCATTGGAAACCGACCAGTTAATTCATTGAAACAAATGGGATTAGTGAACTCGATTGTTTTCTTTTTGTTTTGTTATTTTTCTTGTTTGAAATAAATATATGTGTACAGGAAACACTTGAACGTTGTACAAAAGAAGCAGAATTCAAACCGATTTTATTTGCTCTATGTTATTTTCATGCCGTGGTTACCGAACGTAGTAAATTTGGTTCACAAGGTTGGAATCGTACATATCCATTCAATGTTGGAGATTTGTGTATTTGTTTAGATGTGTTATATAATTATTTAGAAGCAAATAATAAAGTACCATGGGAAGATTTGAGATATTTATTTGGTGAAATTATGTATGGTGGGCATATAACTGATGATTGGGATAGACGATTATGTAGAACATTTTTACAAGAATATTTACAACCTGATTTAGTAAGTTACAAAAAGATAATCGAAATTTTCAAGAGTTTGATTTGTTTTTTTAACGAGTGTGACCACGGGGTGATATCAATTACAGAATCAGTAAACTAGCGATCTCTTTCTCACGTTAGGTGGTTTAATAAGGTAAGTAATGTTGACGTTAGGCGTAGAGTGTTGGGCAAAGAGGGAAAATCAATCGACGAGGCTATAAAGTTACATAGATTGATGTGGCTAGGTCACGTGGTGCGCATGCCTAACCATCGCCTCCCCCGACGAGCATTACTAGCTGATATAAGTGCGGGTTTGAAAAGAGTAAGTGGTGGCCAAACAAAAACATGGCCTCATCAATCCATGAAATCATTGACAGTTGAACTGGAGTCGGGTAGGGAGATGCAGACTTCCGGGTTGAGGCCCCCGGGACTCTAGGAATCAATGGCTGGAGACAATAGGTGATATGGCTCAAAGTCGCTGTCAATGGCGAAGATGTATTCAGTCTCTGTAATCTTTCATATTCCTTTCTACCATTACCCATTCTGTTTCACTCTTATACTTGTGAAACTATTAATTCTCTCCACTCATCTTGTCTACTTTTGTGTGCTATTTGGAACGTGGTAACTCGAAGTGCTGCACTTCGGTGCTAAGTTCTATGTTGAATCCAGACAGACAGACAGACAGACCAGTGAAAACAGTGAGGGATTAGTAGACAGCCAGCTGTTTCATCCTGGTTTGAGAATCACCAGCACTACGCACCCGCTGACAGGGTTCGAACGCAGGACCTTCCGGTTACAAGGGAAGCTAGTTCGTATACCATTCAGCTACTGGGACCCAATTCGGTGGCCTGCTCATGAATTCTAACTTCTACCAATTCGTGATTTAACGTGACCACCAACCAATATCATCGGTGGGAAATCCATCCTCACACTTGGCCGGTTGGACCTCACTAGTCACAATTTCTCACTAGGACTCCAGGAAAAAACTGTGGTTTCAGCAGAATTCTTCTTCGTGCTCCAAAATCATAAATTCATTAATTTCAGCAATATATTCACAGCAGTCAGTAAAGGCAAATTAGAATTATATCAGAAAGTGGATTGCATGGTATGAGTACAAGAGGGAACAACAGTCCGTTAGTTTTGATTTTCATCTAGAATATGTGCAGTCAGAAAGAAGATGAGATCGAGTGAAATGAAGCCAACAGAAGGCACAAGTTTTAAGGGTTGAATGTAGTCTCATTGGTGTGAGAGACAATATGAATATATATATATATATATATGAGCAGATAAAAGGAACACCAATGGGATCACCCATATCAGGATTAATAGCTGAAGTCGTCATGCAAAATTAGAATTAATAGCTCTACCTACAATTAAACCGAAAATCTGGATACGTTACTTTGATGATACACTTGTAATAATTAAGAAAAATGATTTGGAATATACCTATAAACTCCTAAACAACATATCTGAAGACATCAAATTCACAAGAGAAGAAGAATTACATAACAAAACCCTATTTATGGATGTCCTTATCAGGAGAAACAACACAGGAAATTTAGAAACACAAGTATATAGAAAATCAACGCACACAGATCAAATACTCAACTATACTAGCAACAATCCAATTACTCACAAGAGAAACTGTGTGCAGACATTGTTTAGAAGAGTTCAAACACATTGTAGCACTCCAGAGTTGAAAAGAATGGAAGAAAAATACTTACAAGTGGTCTTCAAAAAGAATGGTTATCCACAAAATTTCATCAAAAAGTGTTTAAAATCGAATCACTATACCAACAATGAGCCATCATCAAAGAACAAAAGAAAATGCATCCTACCATACATGAAAAATATCTCTGAAATAACAGCTAGAATACTTAAATCGTTTGATATAGATGCAGCATACAAGCCAGTCAAATCCCTTAATTCAATATTGTGCAAACCGAAAGATCCAACAGACAAAAGAGATAAAATTAATACCATTTACAAAATAAATTCCGTGGATGAACTGTAACAGGCATTACATCGGCCAAAGTGGGCGTCTCCTTCGAATCAGAATCCAGGAACACAAATCAGCCGTGAAAAGACATGATATATGTTCTTTAGTATCAATGCATATAGACAATTATGGACATCAATTTGATTGGGATAATGTCGAAATCTTAGACAGAGGAAACATCAAAAATGCAGTCAGGGAATTCCTAGAAGCCTGGTACTCAAACGAATCAGCCAGAGATGAACAAACACGTTAATATATAGACCAAATATACCAACTAATAAAAAGTGTAAATCATGTGACCAGAAAGTTTACAATCCAAGTCAATAGAAAAATGATCAAAACATGTGTAGAGATGGTTACCGGGAGGCGCAATTCTATCACTCATGAAGAAATTTAAATTATTTCACTTTATGCTAAAAATTGCGCTGAAGGGGGATGTTGTCCAGAAGGGTTGACGATGAAAGCTCCGCAAGTAAACCAATGAGCTCAGAGAACAGTATCAATTGGGAGACAATACGCAGACCGACAAGTGGGATACTCCAGACGTAAGTTCAAGGGTGACAAATAACAGTAATAGTAAATGATGAGTTTACAACGTTAGAATTTAGAAGTGATTTAATTCCAACCGAAAAATGTCTGAATGGTCTCGTAACCAGAAGGTCCTGAGTTCGATCCATGACTATAGGGTCGTAAGTGAACAGCACTGAAGAGTCCAAAGGCAAGACAAAACAGCCTCCCAATGCTCTCCCTGGTTTTCAGTGATCTATCTGACAAACATACATCATTGAATTATTTCATTTCATTTTATCTCATTTTCTTATTGACCACACTCCCACACACAGACATTTTTCAGATGATAGCAGAAATTGAAAAGATCGTTGTAGAGAAGATAATTTTTGTTTCAACGATGTCATCAACTAGACTGTACGTTTGTATATATACATACATATGTGTAATAAAGCTGTTCAAAAGTTCCAGAAATATCTCCCGTCAGTGAAGAACACAGGTGAATACATAACAAGATGAATGAATTCAGGACACTCAGCTCCAATTTGAAAGTCCCTCAAAGCTTTGTACAAAACCTCAACAAACTACTCAAAAGAAGTAACATCAAGGCATCTGAGCATAGCTTAGGTACTAGCTATCCAAAAATTCAAGTCAATGCTATGTGTATTCAGGAGAAATACCTCCCCCTCACAACATTTGTCTTTACCTATGCAATCGTAAACGGTTATTTCCTTCAATGACGATTGTCTGACTAAATTTTCTGTCCATTTTCGTGATTACCACCGTTTTAATCCCTGTCTGTAATCTTGTCATTTGTCATAACTTTGTAACAACAGAAGATAAGGGTCAGGCAACACATCATTTATTGAGGAAATTAACAGATATTTATATATTTTTATGTACATTATTATTCGTTATCATTATTATTAGTACAGAAACAGCGTCTTCTTTTTTTTCCTTCACGTTCCCCAGTGGAACATAGGGCTCCAAGCTATTGGCTTGAAGTTTCTGTAGCAGTGTTTATTTTACAGGGTGGGGCTGCTAGCCTCATGCCCAACCTTTTCTCTTTGCCAGCATTATTTCTGGCTTAGCAAGGTAATGGGGTGCGTCTGTGGCCGAGGATTGAACTCCGGACCATGTGCATGGTCAGCGAGCGTCCTAACCGCTATGCCACCGACGTTATCATTATTATTAGTAGTAGTAGAGAAACAGTGTCTTCTAATTGGTTGTTTTCTCGCTGAAAGTTCTTCTATCATCTCTCTATGGCCATTTCCCTGAAGGCCAGACCATACATCTACGAATTGTATCCGCCCACGCAAGGTCTGCTGTGATTGGCTGTTGAGTTAGTCTTTGTTCTTGTTCTTCTCTCATGACCAAGATTTGGGACGTAAACATTGACGTAAATTGCTGTAAACCATTTTTGAGTAGCAGACAGCTCTCACCAAAATTCGCCCGTCAACCGGAAATAAACTATATATATATATATATATATATTACCTTGAAGGATTTTTCGAAAGGCACTGAATGTCCTGAATTTACCAGATGTTCTGTCACTGAACTGTATACACGCTTTTCGTTTCCTTTTACTAACCAGGTTGGGTAGTGTTCACGAGAGCGTTTTTCAAGTCGGTGCACGGTACGGCCAACGTACTCAGCTGCACAAGAGCGAGTAAACTGGTATATGCACGTTGAGGTGGCCCAATGCGACAGCTTGTCTTTCGCGTTCTGGCTGAACAGTTTCTTGCAGGAAAACGTCAGTCGTAGGCTCGCGGCGAAGTATGTTTTCCTCAGCGATTTGGAGAGGCGTTTGTTTCAATATCACCTCTGAATTCTAGATTAAGCAGAATTATTTTCTTTGGAACGGAATGGACTTGTTCGGAAGTCTTCTTACATTTGAGATTCTTGTCTATGAATCCTGGCGGGAAACCGTTTTCCATCAGGGTTTTTCGAAGGTTACGCAGTTCTTCTTCAACCACTTCCTCGCTGCATATCTTCCGAATCCTCGTGGAAAGAGCGTATATCAGGTTCCTCTTTCTACTCAGGGGCACGAAGCTTTGAAAGTTGATGAATTGTCCATTCCATGTAGGCTTTTTGTATATGTACCTTTTCAGAGAGTTGTCGGCGTTTCTTGTCAGATGGACGTCGAGGAAGTGGAACATTCCGTCGGATTCAATCTCAAGTGGAAAGTCGATATTTGGGTGGGCATTATTGAAGGTTTGAAGTAGTTCTTCTACATCACAGTTCTCATCACAAATAATGAAAGTATCATCGATGCATCTTTTGTAGAGATGGAGGTCGTTGACAGTCGGTGATAAGGCGTTGTTCTTTAAGCTAGCCATAAAGCAATCGGCTAGGAGGGGTCCCAAGGGAGAACCCATTGCTACTCCATCTACTTGCCTGTGTATATACAAATTACACTAGCTGTAATCAACGAATCATAATAGCTATATTCCCCTCCATCTAGGCTATATACTTAATCCTGATTGGCTGTCACTTACAGCCTATATAGTCATGCCGCGAAGAGTACTAAATCCTGATTGGATGTTAATATAATTAGGCGTAGGCGAATAAAAAAATCGGTCATTATCTGATGAATAATAATAGCATTGTGTGTAAACTATTGAAATATAATTATAATTTATTTAATAATAACTCAGTTAGTATTACTGAAAATTTTGAAACAAATTCAGTATCGTGGATACTGCAATGACCAGGAGAAACGATAGAACGATTAAGCGATCTATATTTCGTAAACAGACATGGTGTGGACAATATCTTCATTTCACTAGTTCTGTTCCTATCCAGTATAAACGTCGCTTAGGGAAATGTTTGTTTTCAAGGGCTCACAAAATATGCACGAGCGACACATTGATGGATGAGCTTCGACATATACATTCAGTTTTATTAGGTAACGATCATCCAGAAAACTTTATCAGTTGTCACGGTAAGGATAGACCACATTTTGAGAAGACAGCTATTGTACCAAAGAAAGCTACATTTATTGACCTACCCACCATTTCAGGGTGATCAAATTATGCAGTTGACAGCCCAAAGACCTTGGTCAGTCATCAGGTTCACATTCTACACAGTATCTCTTTCCCTCACATACCGAACATTTTCTATCTCTTTACCTACGATTAAAGGACGACATTCTGTGACCTCTACGTCGAACAACATCTACAGGCTAAACCTACAGTTGCGGTGGCACCCATATACGTAGAACCAATAGAATGTTCGAATGTGGTCGTCAAAATGAACATGTTCCAAAGTGGTTATTAAAACACACAAAAAAAACCCAGTACAATTAATCTGAATAGAAATCCATCAGCGTTATCCATTGCAAAGCAATTATTAATGCCAGATCACAAAATCAATATTAATGACTGCTTCATAATTATTTCATTGCATAACTCTAATTCAAGGTTGGTTATTGAAGGTGATGGAAGCCCTTTGTGGATTATTCACATACATCTTAAACTATGCATACAAAAAAGAACAATAGACTTCAGCCTTTGCCTACCATGGAATGACTACTTGACTTTTGTTTGCGTCCATTTTATGCCTGTTTCCTTATTTCCCGCTGTCTTTCGCGTTATCCAATCTACTGCAATCAGGAAAATCATTGACGATAATACACAGCCTCGCCTTACTCCCGTACTCACTTCGAAGGATTCCGTAAGTTTCCGGTTGTGGATTTTCTTGGTATGTAGCATTGTTGTATAACTGTTGGATGAGATGTATGAAATTCTACTTTCATCTAATTCTAGGTTGATGGTGATCTCTATCTATCGCCTGGATTTCTTGTCCCACCAAATTCAGACTATGCTGGTTATCATGCCTATATTGATAAGTATTTACCGCCTGAATCGCCTTACCTATACGGTTTACATCCAAATGCAGAGATTGAATTTTTAACGAAATCAGCTGAACGTGTATTCCGTGTTGTCCTTGAACTGCAACCACGTGACAGTGGAACGGATGTCAGTGATGCACCAAGTCGTGAAGAAACATTGAATAGTCTTATAGAAGATTTACTAGATCGTCTATCGGATGGATTTCCTATGAATGAATTGTATGCTAGACAAGCACCAGAGGAGCGTGGTCCATACACTGTAGTTGTATTACAAGAATGTGAACGAATGAATATTTTAATTAATGAAATCCGTCGATCACTTCGTGAATTACGTTTGGGTTTACGTGGAGAGTTGACAATCTCTGGTGCAATGGATTCACTGATGAATGCATTATTTTTAGATCAGGTAAGTGTTTAAAAAATGAAGAAGAAAGAAAATTTTTGCAAATATATTTCTTTTTACTATACACATTCACAGCTAGCCACAAGGGGCAGTAAAACAGGATTTAATGAATCCTTGGATAGTGAGTGATATTACAAGGCGATGATTATCTCAAAAATCTGGTGTGATATATCTGAGTGCAATATACATTTCGAACAACAATCTTATCCCTTCCACATTCACTTGTCAATTCAGTTTACACGAGAAAAATAAAGGTCAATTAAAACACATAGAGTTACATTAACGATTTAAGAATAATCAGAAAAGTTTTCATTGTGGGAAATATTCCCATATTATGAATTAAAAGTCAATCTGAACGAAGAATATTCTTTTCAATAATTTCTCCTCTTCAGGTTCTTACAATTATAAAATATAATATTTGTGGTCGTTATAATAACGATAGCCAGTTATGTGGCGGATACACTTTTTAACGTAGAATAACAGATTAGTAGTTATCGGGTGTCAAAATAAATAGTCGTGTTTGTGTGACAAACGTCGTGCTAGGCTGAAATCGATTACCAAAATATTGTAAAACGGGAGACAGTGGTGGTGATTAATCATAATAGAATTGTAGAGTGTGGAGTAGGAAAACGATTGACAAGTCAGTTCAAGGTTATAAAAGGTGTCAGGTGAATGAGTGGCTAGTACAGAGTGGTCTGTGTTAAACAGGAGATAGTAAGACTGCAATGAGAGGTTCATAGTGAGATAACGAATATGTGAAATGAAACAGGTGGAGGCATACATTGAGAAAAGAGATAATATCACTAATAATAGTAAGTCGAGATGGTATAAATGGAAAATTCGACAGTATTGAGAGAATGTTTGCATAAAGGGCATAAATTATGACGAATAATAATAATAATAACTGTATTGACGTCGATGCTATGTCCGTTATCGACCAAATGTGACATGATCTAGCTTTTTATGCAGTTAGTTTCCCCCTGTTGAACCTGTCATTGCAGTCTCACTATCTCCTCTTGTTTGATACATACCACTGTGTACTAGCCACTCATTTACCTGACACACTTTATAACCTTGAACTAACTAACTTGTCAATTTTCCTACCCCACATTCTACGAATCTATTATTACTAATCATCACCAGTGTCTCCCATTTCACAATAGTCAGTTAGTTCTTTTTATATGCATGGTCAATGAGAACAGATGATTTAGATGAAATAATTTAATGATGTGTTTCAGGATTTCATCATGAGCTGACATTAGTTAGAGAACCATTGGAAAACCTGGGAGTACTGGACAGCTGTTTCGTGTTAGTTTGGGACTCTTCATCAGTACGCACCCACCACAGGAGATTCGAACCCAGGACCTTCTGGTTACAAGGCGAGCTCGTATACAATCAAGCCACTGGGACCCGATCCAATGGTCCTTGAATTCTAACTTCTGCCAATTCACGACATAGCGTGACCGCTAGCCAATGTCTTCGGCGAGTATTTGTCCTCACACCGACCCGCTGCACCCTACTGGTCACGACTTCCCACTGGAACCCAGGTAACTACCTACCTGAATAAGGCCAGCCCAGTGGGTGCGTGCCGATGAAGAGTCCCACACTAGGAAGAAACGGTTGTCCAGTACTCCCAGGTTTTCCAATGGTTCTCTAAATAATGTCAGCTCATCATGAAATCCTGAATCCAATCAAATCCCTACAAACCAACACTTAAATTAATGATGCGTGTATGTATATATACAATTAACAAAAGTACAGCATTCGGGAATGAATGTAATCAGTGTGTGTGAAACAAAATTTTTTGAATTTTTTTATTACAACTTGATTCCACACCGTATTTTTCTGTACAGGTATGGAATTTTCAGCATGTGACTTCGGTAGCCCAAAATCCTGCAGGCCGACTATAGATATCAGGTGTGCGTCGGCAAGTGGTGGAACCCCGGATCGTGTATATAATCGGCGAGACTCGTAAACACTGTACCACCAATGCACTACAGAAGAAAAGCCAACGAATGGCGTGGACTAGACATTTGTTCAAGGTTGAAAATAACGACAATAATAATGTGTTTTTGTAGGGATTTTTGTTTTAGTTTGATCAGTTGGAGGATTTCATCATGAGGCAGTACGCATCCACCACAGGTGTTCGAACTCAGGACCTTCTGATTACAAGGCGAGTTAGCTTGTAGATCATTAGCCACTGGGATCCAATCCAATATCCAATCTGTATTTAAGAAAAAACACACTCCAGCAAATATTTAGACTTCAGATCATCATATTTCATCAGTAAAAAAGTTGGTATTAATTGTCTCAAGTCTTCTTCGACAAGCACAATCTTGAATAGGAAGACAGAACTTGGGCACTGTGGTAGAGTATATATAATTCCATTGTGGATAAGATTTATTTATAAGTAAAAACACAGTTATTTTGTTCAGCGAAGAAATTTCTTTTCAACGACTTCATTTTCAAGCTGTACAGTCGTATTTATATTACAGAAAAAGGTTATTAAGTGGCACTAAATAATTGCTCAGTCAATGTACGTATATATGTGATAAAAGTTATAAGGGGTAGAGTTGAAGTGGATAAATTACAAAAATATTAAAGATTGTTCTATAACAAAAATATCAAGTGTTGTCTAAAAATTATGAAAATTAGGAGTACGATTACGATAAGAATGAAGATGTGAAGTGAAGTGGAAAGAATTCAAGTGGTAAAATAAAATAAAAACTAGAAAGAACATTATTATGACCAAGGTAAAGAAAGGGGTTTGACCAAACGCTTTTGAACACATAATTTAGGTTTCTGTTCATGTATAGCTAAAGCTTCGGCTATGCATAAGTGAAGAAAACGTAAACTTTTGGATCGATTCGATTTTGCCATGTAGATAACTTTGAAAGATGAATCACGTGGGGCTAAATGACCAGACTCTAACAGGTGATCACAAATAGACGACTTCGCAGTTCTACGTTCGCCTTTCATTAACCAAACCGGATAGTGTTCAGCTACACGTTTTCGGAGATTACGCTTACAACGTCCAATATAAACAGCTCCACAAGAACGGGTAAATGAGTAAATGCACATAGATGTGGACAAAAGCGGTAATCTATCCTTGACGCATTGTCTGATCATATTTCGGCTGGTAAAAACTAGATGCTAGTGAGCTGCAGAAAAAGTGCGTTTAACACATTTAGATAAACTATTTTTAATCAATTCTGAAATGGTGTCACCTTTGAATGCTAGACTCATAAACAGTTTTTTCTTTGGCACTGTGATTTGTCCAGGGGCGGATTCTATCTTGATGTTACGTTCAATGAACCTTGTGGGATAACTATTGTTAAGGAGATTTGATTGAAGGTTATCTAGTTCTCTATCGATTGTCTCTGCAGAGCAGATTTTACGAATCATGGAGCATAAGGAATGAATAAGATTTCTCTTTCTCCCTAAAGGTACCCAACTGTTGAAGTTAGTGTACTGCCCCCCAGTGAATGTTGGCTTTCGGTAAATCGACCTTAACAGCGTTCCATTCTCTCTTCTATCTAGCCTAACATTAAGGAAGTGAAACGAAGAATCCGACTCTTCTTCGATCGTGAAAAGCAAAGATGAGTGAGAACCATTAAATATTCCAAGAAGTTCGGCAGTTGAAGTGTTTTCATCACATACAATGAAGGTATCATCAACATATCTTTTATACATAAACAGACTATCGATGGTTTCCTGTAGTGGGCCGTTCTCTAAGTTTGCCATGAAAACGTCCACTAAGAGCGGTCCTAAAGGAGACCCCATAGCGACTCCATCCCTTTGGCAGTAGATGAAACACTATCCGGTTTGGTTAATGAAAGGCGAACGTAGAACTGCGAAGTCGTCTATTTGTGATCACCTGTTAGAGTCTGGTCATTTAGCCCCACGTGATTCATCTTTCAAAGTTATCTACATGGCAAAATCGAATCGATCCAAAAGTTTACGTTTTCTTCACTTATGCATAGCCGAAGCTTTAGCTATACATGAACAGAAACCTAAATTATGTGTTCAAAAGCGTTTTGTCAAACCCCTTTCTTTACCTTGGTCATAATAATGTTCTTTCTAGTTTTTATTTTATTTTACCACTTGAATTCTTTCCACTTCACTTCACATCTTCATTCTTATCGTAATCGTACTCCTAATTTTCATAATTTTTAGACAACACTTGATATTTTTGTTATAGAACAATCTTTAATATTTTTGTAATTTATCCACTTCAACTCTACCCCTTATAACTTTTATCACATATATACGTACATTGACTGAGCAATTATTTAGTGCCACTTAATAACCTTTTTCTGTAATATAAATACGACTGTACAGCTTGAAAATGAAGTCGTTGAAAAGAAATTTCTTCGCTGAACAAAATAACTGTGTTTTTACTTATGAATTAATGGGTATTTTTCGAGATTTAAGATTTATTTGGAAAATGTCACACAGTGTTATACAATAATATTTACCGATGGCGTTTACAGCACAATTTATTGCTCATAATCATGTCTAGGTATTCACACAACACATGGATATGAAATCCACAACAGTTGGTCTAAGGCACGTAGGAAGGTGAAGACTTCCAGGCTGGGATCCTCGGGACGGTAAAAATCTATGGTTGGAAACACTTGGTGACATGGCTCAAAGTCGTTCTCAGTGGCGCAGATGCATCCACTCCTTGTGACATATGATCTCCACCAATGAAACTGTTTTGTTTTTCTTTATTACTCCTTTATCTCACACCTCTGCTCACTGTTTCTATTATGCTTTTCTTGTACTTTCTTCTCTTGCTTCGCGTGCTACACGGAGTGTGGCGACTTGAACTGGCGCACATTTGTGCAAAGTTCTATGTTGAAAACAGACAGACAGAGACAGAGACACAACCTTCTTGCTTCGTTTATATATATATATATATATGACTGGTTGAAACGCACAACTCTGCATAGATGCGCAGCAGTTTTTTATTTGATTTTTTTTTTTTGATTTACAGCTTGATTCCACACTGTATTTTTGGTACAAGTATGGAATTTTCAGCATGGATATCGGTAGCCCTAATTTTGCAGGCCGACCATAGATATCAGGTGTGCGCCGGCGTGGGCTCGAACCCCGGACCATGTGCATGGTCGGCGAGAGTCCTAGCCACTGTGCCACCGACGCACAGTTCAAGTTGTCACACTCCCTACACGTAGCACACAAAGCAATAGAAGAGAGTACGGAGAGATTTTAAAAGTGTGAGAGATGACAAACAGAAATATGAGGAAGAAATAGAAACAGTAATATGGGATAAAAATAAAAGCAAGAATTCGACTGACCCAAGGATAGTAGTGAAAATCCGAATTTTTTTTCTTTATGCTCTGGAAGTGGTCAGAAGATTTCGAAACCCATTTTCACATTGGTGAAGGTCTATCTTACCTTTTTGATCTTGGCTTTGATATCCTCATACGTGCTGTTGCCTAGATAAGTTGAGGAATTAACTTCTTTCAATTTTATTTTTACCGTTGATAATGATTGGTGCTCGTTATTCTTGTTGGTGTTAGTTGGTAGGTTGCCTTCATCTTATTTATGTTCACTTGGAGTCCTGTCTTCCCTGGTTGCTTCTTCTGTCAACTTGTTGATTTTCGACTGTAAGTCTTTGAATTTATGTGACATAAGAGATAAATCACCCAAGAAGTCCGTATATTTTAGCGTCTTCCTGTCTGCCCGACGTAATCCTGCCTTCCCACTCCAATGCATAGTTTGATGTAGGATCCAGTCCACCAAAATTATGAATATCATTATTGATGATAGGCTGACAGCCTTACCATATGCTTGTCTTCACTAAGAACGCCTAAGTGAGTTTTCCGTTGCGGCTCACTTGACATATGACATTGTCGTATGATCTTTGAATGGGGTTGATGCAAATTTGGACACTACAGTCCATACTGTTGAAGTAGTTTTTAAATTACTTCATGGTCATTATTGAAAACATTTATTTCCCGATACGACTTTTAAAACAAGCAATAAAGGCTAGTAAAGCAAGATTTAATGAATTCATCAAATTTCGGTAGAAATCAAGGTTAAGCTTTGTTACTGCTACCCCGATGCGGGACGTAAATATTGACGTAAATTGGTGTCTACAAATTTTGGCTCGGCAGACAGCTCTCACCACAGTATCATGTTATTATTAGACGGTTGGAGGCGTTCGTCAGGAAGCCTTACTTCACCTAGGTTTTGTGCTTAATGACACTCATCAATCAGCAAGGTTTCTCTGCAGTCTTGAAATAATTTATGTCCCTTCTAAGATTTGCACCAACTTCACTCATTGAGGAGTGGTGTAGTCAGAGGCGTTGCCGCTGAGCTACTCGGGCTGGCGATTAACTTCCTCAAATTTCGGTAGAACTCGTCAGCTCAATACTCTACATACACGGATATATATACTTTTGAAATTACATTGGGAGATATAAGACTGATAAGCAAATAAACTACATTGAATTAGTCATGCAGAAAGACGACAGATGAGAATGTTTTCCAGATGAGGGGAGAGAGAGTATGAGAGATCGAAATTAAGATAAACTGCATTACGCTTCGATTACATTACTTAGATAAACAATTAGTTATTAGGGAACATAACGAGAATCGCAAAAAGACTAATATCAATAGTAATGGTTATAACAACAATAATAATAATAGTGTTGAAGTGAGTTAAGATAATCCTACTGATAAAGAAGAGTTTTAAATGAATCAAGAATAACAATAATAATAATAAGAGGTAGAATAATAAGTAAAACGTATTACCATGATAGATTTACAGTTACCACCATCTCTTTTTGTACACAGAGACCTGGTTTATAAACTCGAATTGCACAAGACTCCGTAATTGCAAGCATCTTCCTGTTTCTTTGTCTGTTGACAATAGTGAATGACTTGACCGCGTCGATATCATGTCCATGGTTCACAAGATGTTTTGTTATTGAGGATTTTGGCACTTTGCACTCAGCTGTTTTCAACCGCTTTGGCAAATGCTCCATCATATCCATCATCATCATATGCTCCATTATATTCCCTAGTGACTAATTGTTTATCTAAGTAATGTAATTGAAGCGCAATGCAATTTATCTTAATTTTGATCGCTCATACTCTCTCTCCCCTTATCTATTTGAACATGACCTGGAAAACATTCGCACGTGTCTTTCTGCATGACTAATTCATTGTAGTTTATTTGCTTATCAGTCTTATATCTCCCAATGTAATTTCAAAAGTATATATATCCGTGTATGTAGAGTATTGAGCTGACTAGTTCTACCGAAATTGGATGAATTCATTAAATCTTGCTTTATTAACCTTTATTGCTTGTTTTAAAATAGTCATTATTGTTGAAGGCCTTTACAAAGTAGATGAAATTGAGGTGCGTGTTTTATTGCCTGTTATAACTGAACCGAAATCAATAAACTCCGTCTTCACTTTATTATACCTGTGCCTGTTAATTACTGTAAAGGTAATTAACTCGATTGGCACGCTAATATGCCTATTTGTCTGTTGTACCTTCCGATTCATTCAGTTACGAAAATATCAAATGACAAAGGCTGATGCTTGTGATTATAAGATACTGTATAGATTAAGGTGACAAAACATGCTATTTATTCATCTTATTTACCATAATACAGTCGACTCACAGCCGTGAGAATGGATTGTTCTTATTGGCTGGTAATCCGACAAAGACGAGGTGAGATAAAGATGACGAATTGATCACACACTAAATCACAACATGCGAGAGATTGGTGGTGGTTGGTGACTGGCGCAAAGTTAAACAATCAGATGAAGATTACAGGATTTCATCATGAGCTGACATCAGTTAGAGAACCATTGAAAAACCTGGGAGTACTGGACAGCCGTTTCGTCCTAGTTTGGGACTCTTCAATAGTAAGCTCCCACCGGGGTTCTAGAGAGACGTCGTGACCAGTAGGGTGCAGCAGGTCGGGTGTGAGAACGAATACTCGCCACGGATGACATTGGCTAGTGGTCGCGCTATTTTGTGAAATCGCTGAAGTTAGAAATTATGGGCCATTGGATCGGGTCCCAGTGGCTTAATGGTCTACCAGCTAGCTCGCCTTGTAACCAGAAGGTCCTGTGTTCGAACCCATATGGTGGGTGAGTACTGTTGAAGAGTCACAAGCACTAGGTTGACGAAACAGCTGTCTGGAAGTACTCCCTGAGGCTGGTTTTCCAATGTTTCTGTAATTGATGTCAGCTCATGATGAAATCCTGTAACCAATCAAATGCCTACAAACCAGCACTTGAAAATCAGATGAAGAGTTGTTCAATGAAATTATTTCCTGACCACAACTCAAACTAAATCCAGATTTAGGGAATAAAAACACTTTCACCTCAGCTTGCAACCAGTGACTTATAATGTTGATTTCATTTCTTTTGGCCACTTTCTCTATCCATATGCCTCCAAATAGCCTAGGCCACAATCAACAGTAATAGGTACTGAGTCAGAGAGAATTTTCTCTAGAAAATGAACGTCCTTTTAATGCATAATTGTAGTTGTATAGACTGGGTGATGTCACTGTGGAGTTTTCTCTTTTTTGAAGAATTTGTTTATTCTTAGACATTCTCTTAATTCACTTTTCTCTACCTTTAGGTACCATCAACCTGGGAACGTTATGCCTATCCTAGTCTCTATCCACTTGGATTATGGTTTGCTGATTTGTCAAATCGATGTAAAGAATTAGATATATGGGCACAAGATTTAGGCCTGCCAGGCTCTGTATGGCTTGGTGGTTTGTTTAATCCACAATCATTTTTAACTGCTGTTATGCAACAGACAGCAAGAAAAATGGAATGGCCATTGGACAAGATTTGTATCAGTGTTGAAGTTACAAAAAAGACAAAAGAAGAAATGGGTTCGGCACCAAGAGAAGGTGCCTATGTGCATGGATTATTTATTGAAGGTGCTAGATGGGATACAAGTGCTAATTCAATTGTTGATGCTAGAATCAAAGAACTGGCACCAGCAATGCCTGTTATCCTGCTTAGAGCTGTACCATCGGATAGACAAGAAGGTCGAATAGCAGCTATGTATGCTTGTCCTGTGTATAAGACGAAGACAAGAGGACCAACATTTGTGTGGACATTTCATTTACGTACAAAAGAGAAACCGGCTAAATGGATTATGGGTGGTGTTGCACTACTTTTACAAGTATAAAAGTAGTAGAATTAGTAGTGGTGGTGGTGGTGGTGGTATGAAAGACGAACCAATGACTGCTCTGATTACTTCTAGAGAGAAACCTTAATGTATTACTCACAAGAATAATTATAATAGAGTTTAGATTGTTCAATGAATATAGCTGAATTAATTGTATAATAAAATGTATTATCAAATTGTTTGTTTTGTGTTGTGAATCCGACAGGTTTCAACCGAGAGCACTTAGGACAAAATCCAACATCTGGTTGCACGTTTCACATTTGTAAGCGTCCACTGGGCGATTGTCTTGAAATTCTAGTAGGAAATTGTAGTCGGCAGGGTAAATCATGTTAAAAAGGCATGAATACTCATTGGTTGTGTCGGCTGGTAGTAGCCCTATATCAACAACTGGGTTCGAGCCTCGGTAGGAAAATCATCAGTCACTGGAAAACACAGGTACATCCAGATGACTAGTCCCAAATAGGACGAAATGCGCGTTACCCTGGATTCCACTGCTAGTCACCATCCACCAATTAAATTCTAATTAAATACCCAGGCATCGTCAAAGCATCTACGAAAGAAGCCGACATGTCAAACTAAGACCGAGCACTTCGGTCTAATCAATCGACGGGAAAAGCAAAAATTCATTGAGACTGACAGATGTTGGAATTCACAGGTTACTGGAATCTGCCACAATGACTAAATGGTCAGAGGACTGCCTCACACCTATTCTAGAGGTCAGTCCAGTGCCGTTTTGGTTTCCAACGGTTATATAACTGATGTCTTTTTATGACATACATAGATCATAAATGGGGTAAATTTGACTGATAATGTGAAAACAAATTGAACTAGAAAATCCCCTTTCAGACATTTAGAAGACAAAAGAAAGTTCCAGAAAAGAAGACGCTTTTCAACAACTATATATATATATATATATATATATATATATATATATATATATATATTATACACAGTAACAATAGAATTACAATTCATGAAAGATGTTTAAATTATAATAAGCATAGAAAAATGTAATACCAAAAAGAATATCAAATAAGATTAAGGGTAGTTAGAACCTGAATGGCCAAGGTAAGAAAAAAGCGTCTGAACCGACTTCTTCTGGCCAGGTTAAACTTTAAGCACCACGAACTACCAATGGAGTGCCACCGCACCAGTGAACTTGAAACGCTCATTGAGAAAGTCAGTGAAACCTGGCATATAATGTTGTCATCATCAATAAAATACGCTCATCGAAGTGTTATGCTGTTAAATTGGATATCTGGCAAGTTTCAGCTTAGGTTTCGGAAAGATTAAGTTACGCTTTAAGTCAAGGATAAGTTAGGGTTAGGTTAACCTAATAAAGGCGACATTAGGGTTGGTTCGAGTTAGGGTTAGGTTCAGAAAAGATTAGGGTTATCGTTATTGTTAGAAGACTTGTGCGTTGTGGTAGAGCATAATTCCATTGCGGGTAACATTTGTTTTGATAAAGTCTCAGGGTGTTATACAGTAATATTTCCTGATGACCACGTTTCAAGCACAATTTATTGCTTAGTAAACATTATTGTGTTACAATATGAGACTTCATCAAAATATGATCGCCTAAATGAGATACATCCAAATATCAAATTCACCATGGAATATGAACATAATAATGAGTTCAATTTCCTGGATCTAAATGTAAAAAGAACAAACGAAGACACGGTCGAAAAGTCCATCTATAGAAAAGAAACCTGGACTGGACAATATCTTCACTATAACAGCTTTTGTCCCATAAGCTATAAACGTGGATTAGTGAGGACTTTGTATGACAGAGCCAGAAAGCTATGTTCACCAAACAGGGTCGAAGAAGAATTAGTTTTCGTCGAGAAATGCCTAAGGGAAAATGGATACCCTAAGGGATTTATTCAGAAGTACAGCAGAGAAAAAGATGAGAAAGAAAAGCATCCAACTGTAGAAAAGAAAAAAGTGTTTATCTGTCTACCATACAAAGGAGATGCAGTGTCACAAAAGATTGACAAAAGACTGAAAGGTGCAATAAATAGAAGCAGCAAAACTCATAACAGTGTACAGCACCACTCCTTCTTTAATCCACTCAAAACTGGATAAATACCCTGCTGATGTCACCTCCAACTGCGTTTATGAATTCACGTGCACTTGCGGGAGCAAGTACATTGGAAGGACAGAAAGAAGGGCTTCTATCCGGTTTTCTGAACATATTCCCAAAAACCTCTGCCTGAAAGGAAGCAGATATTCCCAGAGTGCAATTACCAGACACATTATTGATACCGGACATCTCGTAGAAATTTCTAAGTCCTTCAAAATATTAAATAGACAAAGGACAGCAAATTTACTACGATTTGCCGAAGCAATCGCAATCAAAAGACTTAAACCAGACTTATGCATACAGAAAGAGAGTGTGATTAACCTCTCACTTCCTTGGTAACAGAATTTTGATTTTGATTAGTCATCTAATTCAGTGATCTCAACTCACTGAACAAATCTTAATCTCATAAACTGTAACCGCTTATGTTTTTTTGAGTTGCTATGTGAACCTAAAAGCTAACACTGTTCTGTTAATCAACATTTTTCTGTTTTCTCTCTTACCCCTCCCCCTCTTTTCAACTTTAAAAGCGTATAAATTGATGATGAAAACTTAAACTAAAAACATTGTAATGCTTTCATTTAGATGCGTCAATTTTATAGTATCTCTTTTCTACCACCACTTGAACATTAATGTATGTTATTATCATCTATATAACCATTGTAATTTCAGGTAGTCTGCAGCTGATGAGAACCTGTGAAATAGAATGATGATATCATTTTATACTGCAAATTTCGTCTTCATTTCTTTATCTAATTTTATCAAGGGAACCAAATGTATAAATTTTTACCCACAATGGAATTATACTCTGTTGATACCCCAACCTAAAACGGAGAGCTACATTTATCACATGTTAGAGAAAGGTATCCTCTGTAATACTTTTCTGCAGTTTTTATGCATTTATTTCATAAATATATGTATTCCCTACACAAAAAATACCTTCTTCACGTGAGTGGTGTGTTCGAGGTCATTCACTGATTGGTAGTCAGTGGTACTTAAAGTTTAACTTCGCCCTTTCTCTTTTTGGAAACATAAGATAGGCTCCTTCACCATATGGATTCTGACAGCTTTAGCAGCAGTTTGTGTAATAGACAAACTCTCGAGGTAAAATAAGGATTATTCGGTATACGGTAGATAGCTTCAACAGTCTTGTGTTTTGTATCCAAAGGAGTTGAGTTAGAATCGAACTATGAATGAACTTTATTTGTTGTACTTTGCTTAACCACGCTGGATAGTGTTCAGAAATACAACTGTTAACGTGCCTAATTTTACTTCCTGTGTAACTGGCTCCACAGAATCAGTCAAATTGATAGATACACTTAGAAGAGGCAAAACAGCTTAATTCAGCAGAATTGAATGCTCATTCCACCTCATTCCTTAAGCGTTATATTATTATTTCGCTAGTGTTATCATCGGGGGAAGTGAAGTTGTAAGAACAAGACATTTATCAGAACTGTTGTTAATGTGACTTACCTTGAGTTCCGAGTGGAATGTAGGGCTTCAGCAGCAAATTTCAACTTTGTCCTATTCTCCGGCGTCCTCTTTAACAAGCCTAATGATTGCCCATTGTCTGTCATCTCTTCCTACTCACACAATCTCCTCAATGTCACATTCAGACTAAAGTTAAACTCATCGTTTCGCACTCTAGTTCCACTCGAGCTGTGGATGGTCTGGTGCGAGATGACATTCGACAGTCTTCTTCTTGCATTTTCTTCTACATGTTTGTGTAGAACAGGTTGTTAGTTGGTTAGCTCCCAGAGTTTCTTGTTATTCATTCTTTCTAGTAGGCCATCTGATCTCCAGTATGGAGTCGACGAACGCAACCCTTTGATGATACTGTATGATGCACTTGATAAAAGTAGTACTATTGGATCAGAGGATAACACAGCCTCCAGTGCTCACTTTCATACTTTTTGTTGTGTCTGTCCATTGCCAAGCCTTTGAGAAGATCCTTCAATACTCAGTGATATTCACAGTTTGCAAGCTTATGGTGTCACTAGTTAACCCAAGTACCTATATAACGAAAGAAGACAATGGCCAGGCAACAGATCGTTTATTTTTGAGAAAATCGACAAATATTTATAGATTTTTATGTACATTATTGCCAGAGGAGAGGTGACGTCTTCTGATTGGTTGTTTTCCTGCTGAAGATTATTCTGTCATCTGTTTATTGCCGTTTCTTATACACTCCGTTGATATATCTGCTAATGGTATCTGCCCACGCTAAGTTTACCGTGATTGGTTGTTGAGTTCCTTAAGGTTAGTCTTTGTTCTTGTTATTTCTCATGACCTCGATTTGGGACGTAAACATTGACGTGAATTGCTGTCTACCAATTTTGGTTAGCAGACAGCTGCCACCACATCTATTCAGAAATTTGATGGTTTAGAGTTGATCTGGCTATCTGAGCTGAGTCAAATCCCCCCCCCACACACACCTCTGATGATCTTGACGACAAAAGAGTGAAATGGCCACTCGGTGTTGAGATCGTTTCCAGCTGACAAGTTGGCAAGTACACCTGGTTGATGTGAATCAATTATTTTTGAGAAAACACCAGGTAACTGAACTGTTTGTTTGTGACCAAATAGTGCTAGGGGAGAATAGGCAGTTGCAATATTCATTTCCTGATGATATTTCTAAACTCTAATGATCAATCTTATTTTGAGATATGCTCATGGACCAAGGTACATCGAACGGGATTTCTGTCCTGATCACCATCAAATAAGCAAATTTGAGTAAATTCAAGTTAAGAATAATTTACATTCAGATTGATAAAGTCATTCCAGCCAAAAACGTGTCGTAAACAGTAGAAATCTGCATTTAAGTATGTAGCACGCCTGTCAGGGATAGTGAACATTGAAGCGTTTGTTTAGTCGAACTCGTCTCCATTTTGGTGGGAGATTAGAAGTCCGTGGT